CCTGAGAAGAGAGTTAAAAACAGGGAAGAATTCTAGCATTTTGGATGACCATTGGATTATATTTAGCTGCAAAATGGACCACAACAATTAACACCACGACAGAGTGTGTAAATATTGGGCAAATGTTCCTGGTCAAAATGCTATGAGTAATATCTGGACAGTGCTCCGTGATATAATTTCACAAGCGAAATCTTCCAAAATGGATTTGGACATAAGGGGGCTTCAACCATATTGTAGTGTTGTAGGGTATCATATGGTCGGCCCCGCACGGCTGTAGCCTTTGCTTACTTGTTATCATTATAAATTTACCATTACAATGTGTATAGAGTATTATAAGCTCGATTGTTTGTGGCTGGTATTAAATGACAGTTATTATATACTTTGCAACAAATTACAGTTGTGGATGTATCGCCCCTGTACACATGCGCAAAAATTAGTTAATCTTCTTCTTCTAAAAGTAATTGTTACTTATTTGTCAATTTACTTATGATTAAGATATAACTACTTATTTAAGCTTTCTTTTTATTTTATGAAAGAAATAGGTAAGTAATCCGATTTGAAATGAGTTCTCTTTGTTGACCTGTAGTCCAGAACTAGCAAGAGTCAAACAATTTTACCATTTTTGCTTGCTTGATTTGGACTACTTACAATCTTTAGTAAAAGGTTTAGGCAATATGAAGAGAAAATAATCAAAATAGCGTTTCATTTATACTTCTTTCTTACATACGCCCTTTTCCAGCTTGTGTATACTCGTGCAGGAAATCCCGCGCCCGGCCCTGTTGACTACAGAATTTTCAAGTGTTTTTTTCTATTAAGGCGGTATTGAATTTCCATTGTTCTTATTTAATTATATTTATTCAGTATAGTTGAATATTTATTTGCATTTTGTCACGTACTAAAATTTTATTAAATTGGATTAAGAATTTCCATTCAAGGTCAATCGGACACGAGGTGAGGAAATGTTATGTCATAATACCAGTAAAACAGAGACGAACACATATACAAATAATGAAGGAAATATTTAAAATTTGGAAGAACTTTTCTCTTGATAAAACAAGTAAAAAAGCTGCCGGGCCGAACTTTTAATACCCTCCACTATTTGGAACGAATTTGGCAATTTTCAAAAAAATAAAATCCGTTAAAATTGTTTTAAAATCTTAAAAATACCGAATGTAGCCATTATATTAGGCTCTATACGACGACGTGGACCTGCATAGAAAAGTTTTGTCAGACTCAAAAGAGCTAAAGAATTGCTTCGCTTGGCCGAGAGTTGTCAACGGCCGAATTTGGTTTTCTCCGATGAGAAAACATTCGTTGTCCAGCAGTTTGTAAACAAACAAAATGATCGTGTTTACTTGCCAAAGAGGTCAGCTGAAAATGTGCACCTTCGGTTGGCCACCAGAACTCAAGCGCCGGTCATGGTGATGGTGTGGGCCGCCATAACAGCCGATGGTCGCTCTACGCTCGTATTAATTGAACGTGGCATCAGAATAAATGCCAAATATTATCGCGAAAATATTCTGGAGGAGGTAAAATGAGGTTCCTCGCTTCGTTTCCCGGATACCAATCCGTTGGACTATTGTGTCTAGAGTATTTTGGAAAGCATGGTTGATCACCTCAAACAAGTGCTTCGCCGGGAATGGGCCAAAATACCGCAGAGCAACATTCGGGTAGCGTGTGACGATTTCATTGGCCGTTTGAAGGCTATAATTCGTGCCAAAGGTGACCAATTCGAACAAATCTAAACTTATTCTAAAATTTGATGCTATTTCCGACATTTTTTGATTTCATTCTATAAAATTAAAAAAAAAATTATGGCGTTTGATTTTGTTGCAGCTTTTTTATCTGACCCTGTATGGGGAGGTGCCGTTATTTGGGGGCTATACGAAAACGTAAACTTGCATACACAATTTTCTGTCACAGGCTGTAGTGCCAATTACGAGTTGCAAATTAGAAATTTGAAACAATTCCGGTGTATAATGTCGCTTAACACATCAAAATACCGAATATAGTGAGATATGGGGGCTATACCAAAACGTGGACTTATATTGCTCTTTTTTAATACCATAAAATAACTCCTGCAGGCCAAATATATATACATCTGGGTAAAATTTTTTCAACCAACTTCAATTCGTTCGGAAGCTAGAGTGATTTCCACAGACGGACATCGCTAAAAAGACATAGAATTGTGTGCTGATCAAGAACATATATACTTTTTGGGGTCTAAAATGTATATTTCGAGGTACTATAAACGGAATGACAAACTCAATAAATACCCTCCATACTATGGTGGTAGGTGGTAGGTATAAAAATTGCTCGAATAATTAATCAAAGTTTGCGTTAATAAAATATAGATTTTTCTAATAATTCCATTTTATACTACTATCTAATATCATTGTTATAAATATATAGTTTCCCGCAATAATTTATTTTAATAGAGATTTATGAAAATACAAATATGTGCCTAATTTTTGAATCACTCCAAATACTGACGTATACTTAATTAAGACCTAAATTCAAAACAGTCTAAATTAAGACCGTAAGTTGCACACTAATTTAAATATGTATGACTAATTGTCCGTATACTTTTTTTGAGAGGACTTTTATCAATTTTAATTAAAATGAAGTGAACCCAACAACGTTTTCGTGTGTGGCTAACAAAAGAATGCAAATATTGTGCTATGTGCACAGACGAGTAGATTGTCTCATAGTCTTGCGTAATATGTTTGTTGTTCTTGAGCAATCTGTGGAGTATGACATTGCAGCCACTTCGGCTAGATGAAATGACCAGGACCTTCAAAGCACTTAACGATCGCTTTATGGGGCTAATATTAAAATATGAACCGATATGGAAAGTTTCTCAGGTCGATTTTTGAATAAAAAAGGAGGGTTGTTTTTGATTTAACTTTTTCCTAGCATAATTGATGTTCTTATCAAAAGTACATTTTAGTATATTTAAGGTTTTTTTATTGTTTTTTTTTTTTTTTTTTTTTTGGATCTAGTATTTAAAATATTTTTATGTTATTGTACCAGCATTGGTCAATATTATGACATGGAGTTTTTGTGTGCCGGCGATAGGCTTAACCATTCCATATCGTACATTTAAATTCCATAGATTTAAATAATCCTGTTCTGTGAAAATACGTCTTTAATATTTGGTAGCTTATTTGGTTGGGGTGCTCATTGTTATAGTTCCAGAGTAGATGGATGGATCATTTTGATCTAAGATAGAGATATTTTCTAACTTTTTTTTACAATCTGACAAACCACACTCTATAAAAACCACACTCTAAGTGGTTTTAATAACATTTGATTTATTTTACTTCAAACTTTAAAATTTTTCTTTATTATGAATTCATTACGAGTTCTGTTATATTTTTAAAAGCATAACAGTAATAATAGCTGTTAAATCAGTTCTTGCGTAGCACTGTCCCAGAACCTGCAAGAACTTACAAGTTTTGAATTTTTTGCCATTTTTGAAAGGATTTACTTAAGAAATAACAACGTTAGAAAAAGTGACAAAATAGAATTTCAAAATGCGATGTTTCAACCAACTCGATCTATATATGATAATATTATTTTCCAAAATATTTACACCTTGTGGTGGATGTACCGGACAAAGTGTGCCAACATAATCCATAGTCATATTGCAAGAAATACTAAAATTTCCCAATTTTCAAAAAAAAAAAAAAAAAAATCGGGAGAAATCAGAAGGAGGGAGAAATATTGCCCTCCTAACTTAAATTAAATTAAAATAAGAGTAACTTTTTTTGTATTGGCAATCGTATTCGTGACAAAGAAATATTCATGAAACAAAAACAGCAACAAAGTCAAATCCAAAGAGCAGCTTCATTTTGTAACCATTCTTGGCTGGCGCGAGCTGAGTGCGATGGTGCTGAGTCCTGTTGGAATCTCCAAAGTGTGCGCCAAAATGTTTGCGGGCCCAATGCTTTAATACACCCTCCAGAATATTTTCGCCATAATATTCGGCATTTATTCTGATGCCACGGTCGATTAATATGAGCGGAGAGCGACAATCGGCTGTTATGGCGGCCCACACCATCACCATCGCCGGCGCTGAAGGTCTGGTGCCCAACCGAAGGTGCACATTTTCAGCTGATCTCTTTGGCAAGTAAACACGATCATTTTGTTTGTTTATAAACTGTTGGACAGCGAATGTTTTCTCATCGGAGAAAAACAAATTCGGCAGCTCACCACTTTCGGCCAAGCGAAGCAACTCTTTAGCTCTTTTGAGACTATTTGCTTTGCGTTGCGGTGTAAGTTCTTGCACTTTTTGGAATTTCAATGGCTTTACCCCGAGCTCGTTTTTCAATATTTGCCGAATGGAATATTGCGATATGTTCAGCTCACAAGCCATTTTTCGGCCACTGCAACGCGGGTTTCGATCAAGTCGCTTCTTTACTGTTCGAACCATTTCTGCTGATGTTGCTGTTTTTTCCGGCCACTTCCTTGAAGTCGGTCTAAGCTACCTCTAACGAGGCCAGTTGTGGTTTTCCAGCCAAATATAAAGAAATCACACTATCACGCTTCCCTCACGAATAATTTTTTTCGGAAAAATTCTCACCAAAATGCTTTCGTACGCTTGTAAACAATATAATGAGCTGTCACTGGAATCATTTTAGTGGCTTTGAAATAACAGCAGTCTAAAGACGGTTGCAGTTTTTTGTTTTATGCTTCCTATATTATTTTAATTTTATCTTAAAAATATGCTATTGTGATACAAATGTATCGCTGTGATTCCCATTAATGTCATTAAGTGCCCCTATACCCACGAGCATTTTCCCACTCCCAGACATCATTCCGATGGGTCTTAATAAAATTATATAATTTAATCTCTCTCTTTGACTTGATTACTTGATAACATTGTCCAAAAATACATAGATTTATATACGTGTTTGAAAATTGGTATGTTTGTGTGTTGGATGTCAGAATCTTTGATGGTGGCAATAACAGAATTTCTTCATTTTCTTTTATTTCAGCACATAAAACGGAACCAGTAGCACTGTCGGGGTTGTCATCGTTTTCTGTGGGTAACGATAAAGACAAACTACAACTCCCCGGTGGATTCAATACCAAAAATTTCTGTCATTGAAGTGGAAGAACATTTTAGTGTCTCAACAGAGTAGTCGGGAAAGATACACGAAGAAAACAAAGTTTCAAACGACAGCGAAAACAAGTGGAACAAATTCTGGGCAATTCAGCTTTTTAGCACATTTAATGTACTCTAATAGAAAGCAAGAACAACAACCAACACATTCATGCAGCCGATATAGCAGACACGAAAGTGCCCGTACCGAATCTCAAATGTCCTACGTCAATGCCTAAGCATCTGGATCGTACCCGTGACAACAATAATTGAGCCCCTATTTGAGTTAAGGGCGGCTGTGTGTTGTGTTTGTTAGCATGTCTGACTTTGCTTCGTATACATCCACTTGGTATTGTCTGTTGTAGATAAGTGCAGTTATTTACTTAAAACATCTCTTCGAGACGTTAAGATACGGGTGTGTGCGTGTGTTTGACTTTCTCTATTTGTTAACGAAATCGCTAAAGGCACTTTGGACAAACGGCGACGAAGACGACGACTACAACAACAACAAGTGCTGTGACTTATTGTTTGTTGTGTTTCAACTCAATTGCAGTTGTTTGGCGACACTCTCAAACACACATACACACACAGTAGTGTAAGAGCATAGCAACGAAGCTTAACTCAAATCTATCCTATCCATCTATTGCATGGGAACTTGAAAAAGGACTTTGGGCGTGTGCGTGTAGCATATAGAGTACGTCGCAGATGTGTTAACTGGAAAACGTTGTTAATTAGGTGAGTACAAGTGCCTGGCGTATACAATGCAGTGCAGTGCAGTGTAGTGCAGTGCTTCTTTTTCGCTTTTGTTCTAATTGTTGTTGTTATATTTTGCTAACAAGATTTTTTGTTTGTGCTCGCTCCGGTGTCCTCCTTAAAAGCGTAAATGGCTAAATTGCCATGTAATTCAATGTACAAGTGCCTGCTAGGTATATAATATGACTCGAAAGCATTAAGCGGACGTTTTCAATTAGACACTTGAGAGCGTGGGAAAGCCGACCTTCTTGCCATGGCGTAAAATGTGGGAAATTAAAATCAAATTAACCATTTGTGTAATAAATTGGATGTCATTCGGGCAAAAGTTGTGTATGTATAGCTTATACATGGCAATTGCATAGATACTCTTGGATGGAGTTTGGTAGAAATCGGAATACTGTAATTGCCATTGTTGGGAACCTAAAGACAAAGATACCGTTTTCTGTCAATTAATACTGCAAATGTATGATGCCGTTTGGCGTTTAAGAATAATCAGGTTTAAGTGTATATACGTATAAAGTAAAATAGCAAAACATAGGCTACTGCATGAACAGTTTACAGGAAAACAGGTAAAAAAACATTAAGTTCGGCCGGCCGAACATGTAATACCCTCCACCTTAGGGTAAAGGAAACATTAGAACCCAATTATGACCCACAAATACCATTTTTTAGACATATTCGTGGGAAAATGTGGCAAAAATCATCAAAATATCGAAAGTAGGTACCGCTATATGGGGCTATACAAAAACGCGAACATATACATATAATGTTTCGCCAACGGAGCTAGAACCCATTAGGACACATAAATACCAATTTTTAGACAAATCCGCGAAGAAATTTGGCAAAATCATCAAAATACCGAATATCTGGATGTACCGTTATATGGGAGCTATACCTAAACGTGTAAGAAAATTGTGATAGTACAACCAAAAGTGTTGTCAGTAGAAACTACGCACCGCCTGGTAAAAAGATCGGAGTTTTGTGTGAAATATCTTGACCGATATTATAAAATGAAAAAAAAAAAAAAAATAATAAATAAATAAATAAAAATAAAGAAGTAAGCAAAGGCTATAGCCATGCGAGGCCGACCATGTGATACAATATGCTAGAATATGCTAGAAGCCCCCTTATGTTCAAACCCATTTTGGAAGATTTCGCTTTCGAAATGATGTCATCGATCATTTCCCAGATATTACCCTTAGATTTTTGACCAGGGGAATTTCCCCAATATTTACGCACTCCGTCGTGTTATTAGTTGTTGTTGTTTATTTAACAGCCAAATATTACTCCTCACATTCGGTAGAATGGAAATGTTGGTAATTTATCACACAAAAGTAGTGGTCCATTCTAATCGCTGTTCTAAACTCTAACTTCATGCGATATTTCGTGTCCTTTGGTTTATATTTGTGACCTTTATAACGGCTGAAAAATCAGGAACATTTTTAGTTGTTGGTCTATTTCGGACATCTTTCAAAACAATAGACCTAGCCCCTTTGAGCCTAAACCTACCCTCATAAAAATTTTCTTGAGTTTCATAACCCCAACCTGTTCTGTAAGGCGAAAAACTATTACAAAATATACACTTCAAGTTATAAGTCAAATTGAAAAAAATATATATCACAAAATGTTACAAACTCTATATTAACATCATTATTCGCAACTCTTTATGTGATTTTTTAGATTTTATTCTTTATTCTTTTATGCCAAGAGACCATTCTTGAGATATAAGCATTCTAGCTAACTTCCATTTTCTTTATATATACACATTGTATACATTTCGCTATATATATCAGATATATTTACTATCGGCATCTACGTAACGCAAATATTCGCGGTTCAATGAAAAATTTGACTTTTATTTAACACAAATGTTATGGTCTGTTTCACCCACTAAATATTACCCGATGACCACCCAAACTGGAAGGCGTCTGCCCAGGCCTAAGATCTAACCCATGCTAACTTCCGCGTCGATTTGTCTATAATTGCGACTGCAGAGCATCTGCAAAATCAGAAATTATTTCAGTTTTTGGTCTATTTCAACCACTAAATATGCGATCATCTCCAAAAGCAATAGGCTTCTATTCTGACCATAACCCCCATTTTCATTATCGTGAGGATCGGGCCATAATTGCGACCTGTAGAGTGATTACAAATTATCATGGACAGACGGACGGACGGATGGACGAACATACACAGCTAGATCGACTCAGCTCTGCGAGATAGGAAGATCCATATATTCTTTCCAATGTGGGAAACCAATATTTCGAGGTGTTACATAATTTTTGTCCCAATCAAACTTTTAATAACCCCATCACATAATGTTGTAGGGTATAAAAATCAGCTAAGTTGGAAGAAACTTGAAAAAGTTTCAACAAATTTCGAAAAATACTGTCTAAGTGATGAGCTTTATATGGGGTCTATACGAAGTCGCGGACTTGCATAAATAATTTTTTGTCATAGACTGTACTACCCGTTACGAACTTTGAAACAATCCAGTTTATAATATCGCTAAAATCATCAAAATACCGAATATCGAGGGGTATACGAAGGTATGGTATGGTATCGGGGCTATACGAAGAGGTGGACATGCATACGCATTTTTTTGCATAGGCTGTAGTACTCATTACAAACTTCGAATACGAAATTTGAAAAAATTGGTGTAAATAATGTCGCTAAAATCATTAAAATACTGAATATCAGGAGGTACCGTTATATGGGGTCTATACAAAAACGTGGACTGACATGACCCATATATGAACATAAACCGCCTACTGGGAAAATATATATATATATATATATATATATATATATATATATATATATATATATATATATATATATATATATATATATATATATATATATATATATATATATATATATATATATATATATATATATATATATATATATATATATATATATATATCTATATATATAAAAGAAAGTTGTGTTAGTTACTACGCTTATAACTTAAGAACCGCTGGACTGATTTTAACGATTCAAACAAATTCGGAATTTTCTCCTCTCCGAAAAGGATAATATCCAAAAAAATCGCGTAAAAATGTGATATTTTAACATTTTCATTTTGACTTTTGAAATGTACAATAGTAATGTTTTATTTTGCATGATTTTTTTCCATTTTTACTTACTTTTTTCTAATGTACATTTGTAGTGTTTTTTATATATATATTTTTTTTTTGAATTCAAATATTAATACCAATTTATTTAATTGACTTGATTTCTTGAGAAATGAAATTGATGGCGAGTTACATGGAAGCGTAGTACCGAATTATGTGGTGGCGAAACGGTAGATGATGTCGAAATAATTTAATGGAATCGAATTTTAAAATAGAAGTACATTCTACTGACAAACTATATAAGGATCTTTAAACATTTGCTGTAAAAAAATCAGCGAACAAGTTGAAGATTTTTTCAATGTGTTATTCTTCTTTTGTCAATTTTTTTTCAATTTGTATTATCTAATTGAATTCAGTAATTTTTTTGCGAACAAAATAAAGAATAATTTTTCACTATATACAAATTTTCACCAAAAAATGAAATAAGTAGGAAATACGATGTCAACTGACATCTACCTTTCAACTCCAGGGCCGACATCATGGTTCAGCTGGAAGATGCGAACACATTTGAACAAACAAAAATTGCCGAAAAAGCCTAATGGGGATCATTTCAAAGCGTGGAACTACTTCTTTCCTGTCACAATAATCCGTCCAATGTACAATCAGAAAAATACCAAATATAAAGGGTGGAAAATAGTAGAGCGAATGGGACTTTTAGTAAGATAAAGATTTCTATCCTTCCAGAAATTCTTCCCAAACATTCAAGATAGGTCATGATATCGATCATAACTCACGGATAAGGGACAACCCGATTTCATATTTATATAACCATCGTATGATTTAAGCTATTTTTGGTGTCTTGGTCACTTTTTTAATATTTTAGCCATTATTTGGCATTTTTGTTTCTAAGGAGGTAGAGAACCTCTTCGCATAAAGTTTGAAATTTTCAGAGTAGGGCCCATTTTGGTCTTGACCACATTCATTAATTGACTTGGCTAAAGGTTGTATTTATGCTACTCTGGGGTAGGGAACCATCATACAGATAATTGCCACATAGGAATTTATTTAAGTAAAGTCCCCACATTGGCGTATTCCCAAGTCCACTTTCACATCTAATTGGTGGTCAGAAAAAAAATGTTGTTTTCTATTGAATTTGTAACCCCCAAGAGAATATTGGTTGGGCCACGTTTTGGTATAACCCTTATATAAATGTATCCCTGACCTGACAGCTGTGACCGTGGTCTTGGCCACGTTTTTCAACTGATTTGGCCATTATTTGCTGTATTTAGGCTACTTTGTGAGTAGAGAACCATCTTACAAAAAAATGTCAACATACGTAAATATTTTGGTACAGTCACCATATAGTCCCCAGGCCCGCCGATCTATAGTGATGTTTACCGATTGGCGGATAACAACGCGGGTATTGTTTAATCGTTATTGAATTTTACCATGAACAAGAACATAGACTTTTTGGGGACTCTAATGCGCAATTTGAGGTGCTATGGTAATGGGTGTAAAAGCGTAATTAACTTTGACTATTTAGAAATTATTTTGCCCTCCTTCCATAGTTATTTATTTCTATTTAGTCGAATCAATATTTATATTAAAATTTGTTCACCTTTATGAGCTAGATTTGTGAAATATTATGCTATGCAAAATTTGCATTAAAGACTAAAACTACGGGCCGGCAACGCGGACCGGGCCAGCTAGTATATATATATATATACTAGCTGAACCCGGTGCGCTTCGCTACCCCTTTTGATTTTATATGCATTCAAAATTTTATTTACGAATATATGTTGGATAAAGACAAACAAATTTAAAAATTAAAAAAAAATATTGCACTACTTTAATGCGTTAATAAACAAAATCATTACAAAAGCAGTAACATGACATGCATAC